CTATGGACGCCACTGCGGGCTGCAGCATAAGCGCCTCCGGGTGGTGGCGGGGCGCGTGCGCACCTGCGAGCTGAGGGATGACCCTATAGTGGGGCACCCCCTCCTCCTTGTGAGTGTCTCTAGGACTGTCTCCCCCTAATGTGAGGCAGCACACTAGGTCCCCTTCAAGTAACTCTGAGCAGGAGCTGCAAGCCGCCGGGTGGGGGACCACCAATGTGACCAGGAACAGGAATAGCCTTGACTAGTGGGTTGGTTGTAAGGTTCCTATGAGAGCAAGTAGAGTCCCTACACAAAAGTCATGAGGTCCTTTTGTTTTTGTTTTTGTTTTTGTTTGTTTGTTTTTCGAGACAGGGTTTCTCTGTGGCTTTGGAGGCTGCCCTGGACTTAGCTCTTGTAGACCAGGCTGGTCTCGAACTCACAGACATCCTCCTGGCTCTGCCTCCAAAGTGCTGGGATTAAAGGCGTAGTAATACCACCGCCTGGTTTAATGTCCTTTTGAATGTTTGCAACCCTGCACCCACCCTACATCAGCTTGACTCAGGCTGGCTGGGGTAGTGATAGAAGAATATGGTTCTTCCCTCACCACAAACACTCCCTTGTGTTTTATTTCTGGAATTACCCTGTTCACTAGAGAGTTCTTACTCAAAGTTTGAAGCCCGGTACCATACACTCACACAGTACTAATTTATTTCTAGATTAAAGACACAGTTTACTATCTAACAGCCGGCGTAACTTTTGTTCATTAAATGAGATCTTCGGGGCAAAATAGGCTGGAGAAGAGAGAAGGCAGATCTGAAACAAATTCTTTTCTACCAAGTACACAACTTTGTAGATGACACAGTAGGCACTGCAGGTAGGGACCGGGGAAGGTATCTAGAGATGCAGCCTATAGTGGTCCATGGTGGCCACTAGCTTCTTATGACTAGTTTGAAATACAGTCTGCTCTGTAACCTATGGACGTGATCTAAGGCATAGCAGGAAGAGATACAAAAAGCTCATCAATTTTAGGTATTATTGATCGTTATATTGAAAGTATTCCAAAATTTTAAAATTGTACCATATGGTTCCCATTATATGTCTGTTGGATAGTGTTGAAAAGGTAAAATTCTCTTTGAAGAAGAGCAAGTGGTTGACTTAGTTGTGTAGGAAGGTGTCCATGTTGCCCTTCTAAAGGAGCCTAAAGCTACGCTGATTCACTTCATTTTTGTTTGCTTTGGAGGCTAGTTTTCCCTGTGTAATCATGATTGGCCTCAACAGCGGTCCTGTTTCAGTTACTGAGTACTGGGACAACAGCTGTGTATTATCTTGCCTGGTTTCACTTGATTTTTATGAGAAGGACAAAGGTGAAATTAAAAAAAGAAAAAGGGATCAGGGACAGAGCCCAGCAAATAAAGGCACTTTCTGACAAGCAGAAGGATGGAACTGGATCCCAGAGACTCACATGTTGTAAGAGTGCCTCCTCTTGAATCTTGCACAATGACTGCGGCCTGTAAACACATTCCCTCGTGCGTGTACACACACACACTAATTACATACAAACACATGCATATACATACATAATAAGCAATTCCAAACATACACAATAAATTACATATAAAACATAGACACACAATTACATATAAACATGTACACAGAATAAACACATAAGCATATGAACACACACAATGACAAAAGTTGATAGAGAAGACATTTCAGTAATCATCTCCAGTTCAAGGAGTTTTAATAGGTCCATGAACATCACAGTATCTTGATAATACAGATTCTAACTTCACCGGAAATTTAAATTATGTTAGATGACTCTTACAAATTCAGGAAGCAAGCATAACATTTCGAATTTCTGCTCAATTAAAAATATTTAAAATACTTTCAGGGTTTATTCTCAACATAGGTACTTCTTTATTTATTTGTTTTTGTAGTGAACTAGTAGTTGCAGAAACTTCGTTTCTAGTATTTTAAAACTTACCTTAAAAATATGTCCACTCATTTATTGAACAAAGGCCTGAGCCAGGAATATTGCTAGACAGTGTTAATGAGAATATGAGCCAAAGAGAAGACAGACTTGGCCTTTATTTCTAGGAGCTAATAAGGATCAAGTCAGTGACTATGTAGATAATAAGCAAGGCATAGTGCATTTTGCTTTTCTAAATTAAACACATTAATATTTTAAGCCTAGAATTTATTCATATATATGTCCTAGGAAAGAGGCTTGTGAAGAATTGACTGCTCTTTTAAAAAATATTGAAAAAATTAATATACTTCATTCATTTACTATGAGAGTTTAAAGAAGAAAAATTGATTATTATTTTACCTTTAAGTACAAAGAAAATATTAAATTATAATGGCATCTTATATCCTCCTTTTGCCTTTTAGTGACTTTTAGTTTCTAAAGAATTTAACAATAAAAATGTTAAAAACACATTGATTTATGCCTCTAACATATTTTAAAATTGCTGACTTTAAAAAGTTAAATTTATATTAGCATATTACATTATTCTTAAATCAATATAATTGGGTCTTTTAAGAGGAAGTTGATCTTACAATCTTGTTATTTTACTATTGCTGCTGTAATGAATTACCACAAAGTTAGCACCTCAAAACAACCCTTAATTTTTTATTTTATATTTCAAGATGGGTCTCAGTGGGCTCAACTCAATGTGTACACAGGCCCTGCTTTTCCTCTGGAGGCTCAATGGAGGAATCTGGGGCTTTTGCTCAGTGAAGGTTCTTTGGTTGTTGGCCAAATTTAATTTCTTTCTGGTGTCAGGTTTAGCTTTCCTTTCCTTTTTTTCTCCCAGACTGTTGTTAGCACAGTACTGTTCTGCATTGTCTGGAGGCCACCCACAGTCCCCGTGTTGGGGCTGTCTTCCTCCATCTTCTAGTTAGCTCTTCTATTCTCAGCTCTTCTATTCTCCTCCTTTCTGTCCTGACATCTCTCTAGTCACTGTTTTTTTGGAAAAATCCATTTGATTATGTTGAGTCTCTTCATGTCAACTCTGCAACTGTAGTCACATTAGCCAATTCCCTTTTGCAACGGTAAGGTAACACATTCCCAGGTTGTAGGGCATCTGTGGGACACACTTTTCAGACTCTGGTTGCCCCTCAGCTAATGTCCAAACTCTTTAAAACAACAGATATCATTCTGACAGTCCCTTGCCTAGTATTTAAACAACAGCCACTGTAACTTCTCACATTTCTGGTTTGCTGTTAACATTTCCTTGATGGAGGCCTGTTTCTTAAGGGGCCTTGAAGGAGTAATGGCACCTTGGGTTTCTGGCCAAAATGCCTTCTAATACCACTTGTAAAAGGTACTTTCTCATTGACAATTTACGACCTTTGCCTTTATTGTTGTCCCCATATTTTCAGATGTGTACTACCAAGTTGATGGCATTGAGCTTCACCACACTTCAGGTATACCCTTCCTTGTTTACCAGAATAGTCTTTCTTAAATACTAAACTCCATTAACCCCCCTTTCTTTAAACCATGTAGTGCACCCTTTGTCAATTCCCCCAAATATTGAACCTTTCTCTGTGTTTTGACACCAGTTACATGCTAGTAGTATAGTGTGTCAGATGTCAGCAAGTGTTCATTTATACATGTTATTTTCTCATTTGAGAATAGGACCACAGAGATAGTTTTGCCTGAGTCTATTTTATATATACTATGTTAGCATATTATTTATATTATTTGTTGCACTGTAAATTTCTTTTTGTCTCATCACTAATCTGTGAACTCTATTTCTTTCTCCCTATGTGCCTATTGGCATAAGAGACAGTAAGTTGTTTGTAAATAAATAATTGGGAAGAATTATACATAATACTTGGTACTGTTCAGTTGCTTAAGTCTGAAAAATTTATGAAGTGATTTTTAGAGAATATTCATACACATATAGAGTTATTTTGTTGCCATAATTTTGGTTAGATTGTTGAAGAAACATAACTGGTGGTTTGAAGCATGAGTTGTGGAAGTAGAGCACTTGAGTCCTTCCCTTGTCCCTTACAAATCTGTGTGATATTAGGTAAGTTCCTCCACCCTGTCACCTTAAAGCAGAAGGACAATAATAACTTTCTTTTATGGTTAAATAAGTAAATGAGTTATGTAATAAAATGTAACTGTGTTCCAGATAGTGAATATTCTATACATATTTGTTAAATAAAAACTATTTTCTATTCCTACTGCTTTTGATGATAAGTAATGACTTTACAATACTCTCTATTTTTTTAAAAATAGCTCCATGATTTACAATTGGATTGTTGAAGAAGAATTTGTTTACTTTTAATGATCTTTAGTACTTTACATCATATAAAGATTCTCTATACTCCTTAAGTACTTGTGAATAATCTTTTTCACTAGGAATTGACATACTTTCCTTTTGTACTGTTTTTATATTGCTGTTGTAATAAATTGAGAAAACCTAGTGGTTTAAAACAATATCAATTTAATAGCATGTTCTTTAGGCCAGGGGTTCAACACTGATCTCATGAAGTTGTCAGCAATCTGTATTAGGTTTTGGAGCCCCCAGGCGAGCATCTGGTTTCTTGGCTTTTCTAACTTCTAGAAGCTGACTAACATTGATTGACTCATGGTCACTTGCTTCCTTCTTCAATGCTTGAAATGTTGCAGATCTCTAATAACTCTTTTGTCTTTATACTTCTTTCTCTTGACCTCAAGTAGGATTTGTTCTCTGCCTTTAAGGAGTCATTGGAACCTCCTGGATATTCCACTCCAGATCTTTCTATTTCATGATCCTTAATTACATCTTCTGTGCCTCTTAAACTATCAAATGTTTTTGTTTGATTTT